TGGAAAGCGACCTGTCCCCCACACTCGGGGGAAAATCTACCAGTCCGTAAAATCAGGCCCCTTCAATCCGGAAGTTGGTGGCTTGCGCCTTACAGATACATGCCTTAGCTTTTACGGATATATGACTTCATTTTACGGGGGACATGGAGCCCTCCAGCAGTGTAGCCATTAGCCAACAGTGCGCTGCTGCCGCTGGGCCCGGAGCTGTGGAAACTGCAGCCCCAAGATGTGCTACATGCACGAAATTGTTCTGGTTCATTCTCTCCTAGTATGCAGGGGCAGCAACTGAATCAGCGGCGGCATTTGCTAATGAAGGATATGCGGTAGTGGTGTTAAAGGAAACGATCGCGCAACAAGGAGTCCATATGCTGACGTGGCGTGTCGGTATATTGGTATATATGTCGGCTTCGGGCCCTTCCCGTCGGTGATAATGAAAGAAGCACTGGAGCCAGCAGGGTGACAGCGTAAGGCTGCCAGGGCCAGAGGCACGACTAAAAACGTTCGGTGATGGCAGCGGCAGTGTTAATGGCGGCGGCCGCACGGTGGCCGGACTGCATCAATGGGCCTATGGGTCACTCGGTGGCGGCAGCGGCAGCAGCAGTAGTTCGGGTGGCAGCATGCAAAAATGGCCGCTTCAGTAGTTAAGCGGTATCAGTAGTGGCGGACGCAGCAGCAGCAACGGCAGCCAGCGGTGGCAGCAGCAACGGCAGTAGGAACAGCAGTAGCAACTGCAGCAGCAGTAGCGGCAGCAGTGGCAGCGTCACAGGCTTGGCGTGTGCGGGGTCTGCGACAGCGGTAGCACTTGTAACACCAGGTAGAGTACTTGGGGGAGATACTCGCCGGCCCAATGATGGAGATATTCAACGGAGTTAGATCCCTTCGACAGTTACGGTGAAGGGCAGTCCAACTAGGTATCAGCGGGGGTGGACCAGAACCGTATCTTGGGGGCTTGGTAGCAGGGAACGGGGGCTCCGTGTGTATGTGTTTGGGGATGGGGTAAGGAAGGTAAGGGGGAGAGGAGATAGAGGGCGACTCGTGGGCCACTGGCCAACGGGATATGCTTGCGGGTAAGGGCGCTGCCGTAAGTCGCGGCTTCTGGAGGAGCAAGGGCCAGACAATCCTGTCACTATCGCGTGGCGATGGGGACATTATTAGTTGGGAACCATGGCAGCATGGCGCAACATGTTGGTGGGCCTGGTGTATCGCTGTCCTCAAAATGTCCGCAAAGCCCCACCCCATGCGCAGGGGCCATCATCAACCCTGTAATAGCGCCAATGCATGGGAGGGTTGCGGTTACTGGGGCCGGCAAACAGGCTCGTGCCTATCTAGGCGCTAAGCCAGGCCAGGGCAGGCTTATCGGCAACCATATAGGACGTGGGGACAGGACAGCTGCCTGGGACCTCCTAGGACGCCCTTGCCTCGGCACGGGAGAGTTGGCGATGCGGATTGGCAGGGAAACGACCGACACCGGGCGCCACCTTCGAGGCTGCGCCCACCTTCCTCGTAGGCCTTTTGTACTGCCGATAACTAGGGAAATCCATATATATAGCCAATGATTCAATGACTGGATTGTGTACATGCCCTGCACACCCATTCCGTGACCAGGTCCAATAATAATATTTACTTCATAAATTGTTTTATTTCACTGGTATGTGCATCAGGGAAAGAGCTTGCTGCAGGGATCTGTATACTGTCGTCGTCAGGGTTGTCATCACTCTACCTTTTGTCCCTACATCAGAAGGCGCCTTTATCTACGTAGCCGGATTATTTACATTGCATTGCCACGTATTGCTCCAGGGTCCAGGCTGTAGGCTGTATCACATTCACGTGGTAGGCTGCTCCAGCGAAAACACCACTACCACCGCTGGCTGCAGCTCTGTCGGCAATCAGCAGTGTTGCTTCTCATCGTGAGGTGTGAAAGGACTGGAATGGGGTAAGAACGACGGATAAGAGATGTAACCATAAGCTGGGGACGGGGTGGTTTGTACGTACCCATACCTTCTCACAGACAACACACGCCTGGATATACCATTCCCCCAACCTAGGCCGCAGCTACAGCCCTGATCATATGTTACATCCCCCACCACCATCGCATCCCTTTCCAACCTGCCCACACCCCTTTTACTTTCCAACCTGCCCACATCCCCTTTACCTTCCAACCTGCCCATATCCCCTTCCTATATCTCCTTTTCCCCATGCCGTGCCTTCAGTCAAGCCGGGCACCGCAGCTGGGAAATCGTCCATCCATCACCACTGTGTTGGCGGTTCTGCAGGCGCCTAGTACCATCGGTCCAGCCGCTGCAGGAACTTCCGCTTGCTGCTGGCCGTGTACCGGTCACCACCGCATTGCCGGTTGCACCGGCACCCGCAGGTTTGCAAGCGACACCACAACGGGTTGCAAATCTTCGGGTGCCGGTGCAACTGCCAATGCAGCGGTGATCGACGCCTAGCATGGATGCTGCTGCCTGGGCGACTGTGCGGCCTCCCCACTATGGCACTTATGTCCGACCTAAGCCAGGACTGGAACAGCATGTCGTAATGGTGCTTTGGTGTCGTAACGTTCCCAGTACGGATTGGTAAAGCTGCACATCATGATGGGCAATGCTCGCTGCCGCCCATGGCATCACGGGCGCATGGGGCTGGGACGATGATTTTCGTCTGTTCCCAGCCATCATGCGGTCTTGTGCCTGATGACTGCCCTGCACAAAATCTCCTTGACCTCCCTTTATCTGCACAACTTGTAATCCGAAATACACACAATCTGCATGGCAGTGCATATTTCCCTTGCAACTCCCTTGCCTGATCCCTTTGAAGAGTCCCTCCACCTTTCCATGAAGCTTTCACTCTTACTATTCTGACCTTGGAGCCTTCGTAGCTCCGTTTGGCAGGGCATCGGGGCACCATGGTTTGCGCTTGTTGCATGCAGCGGTTTGTTGCCGCTGTGAGACTCACGAGCTTTGAACTCTGAGCCCCGGGGTGCCCCATATTCGATTATGTATGCTCGCCATGTGTGGGTTGGGTTGTACAGCTGTGAAGGGTTCGGTTGTACAGCTTCGCGCTCACGTTGGCGTTACCAGATGTGCTCAGCTCTTGGATGGATCCAGGGCGTGGATGTGGGCTGTGATGTTGTTAGGGATACATATCTGTACGCACTATCAGCACACACTAGCGCCCAAAGGGCTTACCGAGTTGCGGGTGTTGTGATCTCGTGCGTCGTTGCTCTAGCGCTGGCGGCTGCTGGTCAGGTTAGGCCCCCACGTTCGCCTGTGTACGATCGCGTCGTGGTATGCTCATGCATTCCTGTCCCCCTGTGCACCATTGCTGGTAGCGGCTGATAGACAGCGACATGCAGGGGTGTCAGCAGGATGGACAATCTGGATAGTGCATCTTGGGATGTTTTATTCCGAGGCCGTAATGTGGAGCTGTATTTGAGTGGAGATCTTATGTCTGTACGATGATCTGTGGACGAGAGGCAACGGTTACGCACGTTGTTCATACAAGGCTACGCGAAAAGCGCATGTATGGCAGCTAAATCCTTCATTTGCTGATCTTGGTGCCTCATTTTCTTCGCTGTCTCCGCTTATTGATATCTGTACATAGGACCGCCACAGAGATTTGCATAAGTGTTTAGAAGGTTGTCAATACTTCGCTACTGGCGTCGCATATTGTCCCAGCAGTGGTACACCCATCTTCACTAGCGATATGGGCCGCTATCTATGACAGATCCACCAGGAAGCTACATAGATAGCGGGTTAAGCGGACCTGGCTATAAAGTACTATTTTTACTAATGAAGTACTATTTTTACTAATGAGCATCAATCAACACGACTTAACTTGTGGAAATGATTTGTTTGTTTTATTTAATTATACTAACAAATTAATCAATTTCTACACTTCTTTTTCATCGGCACTTTGTCTGTGCCGCAGTGTTGTCTTGGAAGAGAATTCAAAGCCCATGTTCAAGCCTGGGAACGTATAACACAAAACACCAGATAATGATATTTAATGTGATATTCACATTTACTTGGGTGAACTATTGCACCTGGGCTGGCTAGGATGATGTAAAACCTTTTGACGAAATCTGTGCGAAATTACAGATACGTAAGTACATGAACGAAAATCCAAGTCATAGACTCTATATTTGAAATTTACAGGCGAAAATCTTTGATTTGTCGAGAGTGTTGGATAACCCGAAAACGCCCGAGGCAGGCTTGCCCGTTTCCATGGTCTGTTTCAGACTGAAGCTACTGCGGGTGACAGGGTCGATGCAAGAAGGTGAAACCTAGCCTAGGCTAAGTCGCGGAAAGAGAGTCAATTCAAGAGTCATATCGAGGCACATTCGGTGATTTGCGAGTTGCAAAAGTTGTTTGGTAGATTATGAAAACAAAGGAGGAATAGGCAGAGAACTGCTCGACACCAAACGTTACCATGTGTGCTCGAGGCAGCAGGTCGAGGCAAAGCAATGCCTGGGTCGGTCCATCTGCACATCGAGGCTAGGACATTTCTTGGAAGGTGTGACTCCTTTTGCTGTTGCATACCCGTACATGCCCGCCACCATATATACGCATGTCCGCCAAGTATGTTATGTCCAGACGGTGTGACGTACCTGACGTGCTGCTCCGGATCACAGATACTGCTCGATCTCTGGACCATCTTTAGATTCCCTGCCTCTCACTGCCTACATAGACACGTATACGTGCGTTTAGCTGCACCAGTGTGTCAGCTTGCAGCAGCAGATATAATCCAGTTGGATCAATCGCCAACATACGAATTGCTTTAGCCGCGGTGGGTGCCACAACCAGAAGCGGCGCGTCACTGCACCCGCGTTGCAAGCTCAAGGTATGGAGGTGTATGCACATGCCTGTCGTGGCACGCTGCCCTCAAGGTGTCTTCGTTGCGCGTTCGCTGCGCTGCATGCTCGCGATTATATGCTTAGTGCGTGTAGAGTGTGATGTTGCATCGAGGCGCCATGATTTGTGTTTGGTTTGTCAGCATTGAACATGAGTTTTGTCTGGAAGAACGCGGGCAGGTTCCTAAGCCTCAGGCGTCCTCAGACGACCTGGTCCCGCACCCTCCTTTCGTCCTTTCTTGTTGAGGAACTGACTTCAGGACTTGATGGGGTGCTACCGGTCATCGCGATGAATCTGCCCCCGAGTCATATCTCGTATTATGGGGTTGGAGGCGATGATGGTGCGGCGGACATCATGAATCCTTGGGGCGGCGGCGGCTCCGATGATGGTGGCAGTACGGCATCTGGACCGGTACGCCCCTAAGTATCCCCCTGCGCCTGAGCACCCGCATCCAGTGCATGGTGCACTGTGGCTAGCGCCTAAGGCTGCTGCGCCCTGCGCCTGAACGCCATGTGCCGCATTTTATATCGTCTCATTACACCTATCTGTAGTATAACTACACGCACAAACCACGACACGCACTGATAGGTTCTTTACAGCGTTTTGTATGCAGATCCCGCATTCCTCAATTTTGGAGGTATAGCAGCATGGATGATATTACGACACGACCTAAAGAAGACCTTCTGCTTGGCGCTTTGATTGCGGCATGCGTGTTGCCCTTACTGAGCACAGCACTTTATCCTACCCAGCCACGTGTACGCGACAGCGGCATCGCAGATGTCGAGCACTTCATGTCTTGCTTCCCCCATCTTCCCAGCCTGACAACTGCCACGGCCTTTCTTGTCCTGTACCATTTTCCACAGGGCCCCGCTGCCACCTATCCGACCAACGCACCACCTGCTGCATCCTTCCACCGTCATGGACCGACAGCAGCAAGGTCCGCCGCCGCCGCCAGCCCGCCGCCAGACCATACGGCGGGGCAAAATTGGCATCCGGGGGGCGCCATGGGAGATTGGGGCTGTGGCGGTGGCTTTTGCGATGGCGGCCGCGGCTGTGCCCCGGGGCAACGGTCTGCAACGACGACACAGGCGCCGGGAGGGGAGGCACACATGCTCAATCGCTACAACCCAAATCAGAGCTACTCGTCGGCTGGCGTACATTACAGTCAACCAACAAACCAAGAGGCACGGTCGTTGCAACATCTGCCGCCATCAATGCAGCCATCATCCGCGCAGCAGGTGCTGCTGCCGCAATTGCAGCAGAAGCCTCGACAGCTGCCGACCCTCCCGCCGCATCATCAGCACCAGCAGCAACACCTGAGCGGACATGCCCGCCAGTACAAGAAGTTATTGCACGCCCAGCACCTGGACCAAAGATATTCGCCCTACGGGGCAGGCCCGAGCTCAAACGTGTCCTTGGGTGGCACCTCCGAAACCGTCCGCACGAGCCAAAATCGTGTCGTAACAACAGGTGCCTTCCCATACCAGTACCGCAGTTCAAAAGGTGGCTGCGGCTGCATCACCGGCAGCCATTCTGTGAATCAGCATGACGCATATGGTGGTACGGGTGCTTCTGCTGCCTCCACAGGTACACATGCTTCTGCCGCTGCTACTGCTCGAGGTGGCAACAGGGCAGCCCCTGAATCCGTTGCCGTGTCCCACATAGTGCACGGCAACGGCTCTGGTGCCCGTCCTACGGATAAGAATCCGGAAACGGATCAGCTGATGCCTCCCATGCCGTCATCCCATCCCCGCGAGCAGTACCACTATTACGACCAACAATATCAACAGCAACACGTGCCGCAACAGCAGCAACACATGCATTACACCTCGCAACAGTACCAGGAGCAAGAGCAGCAGGAGCACCACCCGCTGTATGGTCAGCTGCAGCGCCAGCAGCAGCAGTACCAGCAGCAGGATTACCAGCAGCAGACGCGTAGGCAGCAGGACCAGCAACAGTACCAGCAACAGGACCAGCAGCAGCATGACCAGCAATGGGAGTACCAGCAACAATATCAGCTGCATCAGCCAAGGATCCACCAACACCTACAGCAGCAGCAGCAGCAGCAGCAGCAAGAGTACGAACAACAAATTCGCCAGCAGCGGTACCATCAACATCATCAGCTGCAGACGCAACAGCGGCCGAAGCAAAAGAGGCAACAACAACAAGGGTACAATGAACAACCTCAACAGCAGTTGCATGATGACCACCATCACCGCTACCAACACCACGAGTACAACCAACAGCAGCTGCAGCAGCAGCGGCATTCTCACCACCATCACCAGTATGACTGCGACCAACAACGTCCGCCTCAGCAACGTGATCTCGAGCAGCAGCAGCAGCAGCAGCAGCAGCAGCAGCAGCCGCAGCAGCAGCAGCAGCAGCAGCAGTACAGGTACCCGCAGCAATTACTGCAGCCGGAACTAGCACGTGGAGGGGGGCATGCCGATGGCCGTATGGTCGACTGGGCCTACCCATCCGACGGAGATGAATTCATCGGCGATGGCAGATGTGTCAACACCGTGACGCCACTTGCAGGTGAGTTAGACGCCGCAACTAACTGTCGTTTGATTTGTTTTCTTGTCCTCCCCTCCTGGCTTTGATGTATTCCTCTTAATTCCTCCTTAAGACTCCTTACCGACGCCCTTATGCACGGCCCCACAATTGAACCCTATGAAGGACCACAATGGGAGCCAGGCCCCTGGGGCGCTTGCGGGACAGCTGGTACGGGCACCGCCACCGCCGTCTCCTTACCCGGTGCAACCCCACGGGTTCCGCTGTGTACCGGACCAAACACCTCCGGGGCCGGAAACGGCGGCGGTTCTGGCAATGTTGGCCGTGAAGGCGCTCATAGTGATGATCATGATGATGATGATGACGGCAGCAGCGGCCGTGACCGTGGTAGCTATGACGGCGGTGGCGATGGCAGTGGTGGGGATGGTGGCAAATACGACGGCGGCGGTTACACTGATGGCGGTGATGACAGCGAAGATGACGATGACGGCGGCGACGGCGATGACGGTGGCGACGGCGATGACGGCGGCGATGGCGATGACGGCGGCGATGATGATGACGGCGGCGATGATGATGACGGCGGCGGTGACGATGACGGCGGCGGTGACGATGACGGCGGCGATGACGATGACGGTGGTGGTGATGGCGATGACGGCGGGGATGACGATGACGGCGGCGATGACGATGACGGCGGCGATGACGATGACGGCGGCGATGACGATGACGGCGGCGATGATGATGACTGCGTTGATGGCGATGACGGCAGTGGTGATGACGATGACGGCGGCGATGACGATGACGGCGGCGATGACGATGACGGCGGCGATGACGATGACGGTGGTGGTGATGGCGATGACGGCGGGGATGACGATGACGGCGGGGATGACGATGACGGCGGCGATGACGATGACGGCGGCGATGACGATGACGGCGGCGATGACGATGACGGCGGCGATGACGATGACGGCGGCGATGACGATGACGGTGGTGGTGATGGCGATGACGGCGGGGATGACGATGACGGCGGGGATGACGATGACGGCGGCGATGACGATGACGGCGGCGATGACGATGACGGCGGCTATGACGATGACGATGGTGATGACGATGATGGCGGTGATGATGATGGCGCCCTCCCTGAGCTCGGCTGTGCCCATGGAAATGCGAGCGAGCAAGCCAGGACGGGCGACACCACCGGCAAGAAGGGTCGAAAGAAAAGCGGTGACACGTCCTCCGTGTTTCTGGGTGTTATCAAGTAGGTGCCCTCGTTACCTTCCATGTTCTGTACCCATCTACGCCTGCTCGCCAGTGCTTGCGTGTATGGGCTCTTCTGATGTATTCACAGGTGATGTGCCTGGCTGGGGGGGGTACCATAACATGCTTTCCTTCCACCTTCACTTCACTTCATCCCAGTCCACCTCACCCCGCCTGGCAGCCGCTCTGTCGTCCTACAGGGGGCCTTATGTACCGACAGGCGGCAGGCTCGGGGCTAACCGTCAGCGCCTTCTTCCATTCCCTCGGTGCTGATCCTTCACGAACTCCCTCACCTCACAGGCATCCCCACTCGCAAAAGTGGGAGGCTCACCTGTGGGATCCGACGGTGATCCGCACAGACGTTGCCCCCGGAAAACGGAACCAGGGCAGGCAGATTTACTTGGGAGCGTTCCGGTCGGAGGTGGGAGCCGCGCGAGCGTACGATATCGCGGCTATCATGCACCGGGGGGCTGCTGCCAAGACCAATGTGCGTGGGTGAAATGAAGGGGATGGTGAGCATGTATGTGTTACGTACGGATGCCGTCCATAACCTGCAACAGACTCGTTGTTAGCTCTTAGCCCGTCAAACTATCTCTATGCTCGCTCTCACTCACACCGTCACGCGTTGGGGAAACCCCTACGGCAGGAAACCCCTATAAACGATGGTAACCCTGACTCTTTTGGAAGGCATGATGGGTGTTAATAGTGCAAGGTGACCAGTGGAAACGTGTGGTTTTGGTTCATAGCCTCTTCCTGATTTTGAGGTCGGTTGCCAGCAGGTGAAAGCAGCCTCACTCGCCGTGCTCTCTGTTTGGGTTTGTTTTCCTGAGCTTACTTACCTTGCCTTCATTACAGCAAGTGTCTATCAAGGTTCTGGCAGAGCGCTTTAACGCCAACGTGTGTGTGCCGTACTGTACGACAGCTGCTGCACATACAGTGCCGGCTGTGCGCTGCTGCATTGTACACGTTCCTCTAAGCCTTCAGTATGATGTACCAAGTTTCCATGATATGCCAATTTCCAACGGGCATTAGCTTTTTTTGCAGTCTTTGTGGCTCAAATCGCCCATTGCCCATTCTATGGCTTCACATCTCACGCAGTTTCCACTTCAAGACTATGCCGAGATGGAATCCTTTCCCCCGCTCGATAAAGAGGTGCTGGTCGACATGCTCAAGGACCAGCGCCTCCGGGGTGAACACCGGTACCAAAGATTCACTCGCCAACGACCCATGGGTCATTGGGAGGCGTTCATCAGCAAGATGTGCAGCAGTCCCAACCGAGTGAGTGCATTATGTGTTTGTGGGTATGTGGGTAGCTATGGGTATGTCGGTAGATAGATGGGTCAGAGAGTCCGTGTGTCGGCACAGTAGCAGCAAGTGCTGGCTGATCGTGGCATACATACATTGAGTGGTGTTCTTTTATTGGAAACCCCAGGCCGGCCTGCCGGCAGGGCCCTTGGACCTGGCTGCCCGCGGCGGTGGAGCGGAGGCTGAACGGCTACAGCACGGCGCTTCCGGCAGCAACAGTCATGCACATGGCCGTGACCGCAGCGGCATTTGCTTCAGCGGCGGTGCAGACCGTATGGCAGCTAGCGCTGGCTGCGGAACTGGCGCAGCAGATCGTCTGTGTATGTCGGTCGATCCTGCGGCGGCTGCGGCTGCAGCAGCAGCTATGGAGATTGCAGCGGCGGATGTTGTCGGTGCTGGCACCTGCACCTGCACCGGCACCGGCACCAGGGATGTCACCGAGTCTGTCGTGCGGCTGTCCTCAAGGAGCATGGCGTCCCTGTACGATGCTGCATTGGTGAGAATTGGAAAACGTCCTGCAATAGTGATCAAGAGTCCTTGCACATGCGAAAATGTTGTACGACTTATGATAGGCAGTCCTTGAAGACTCTGGCTCACAACTGATGTTCGCAACAGTTTTCTGCCGGCGGAGGGTGGCTCTGACTTCAGCCAGGTGTATGTAGTCCTTACATCTGCACATCTACTTCATCGTTATGTTCGTGCAATTGTGCTGATGTGCACTGCTATGTATTTATCTTACTTCTCTCCTCCTTAAACCGTGTGCTCCTCAAGCGAACCGCACCATGTGACTCTGCATCGAACTCACGTATGCTCGCCCACGTGTGCGATAGTGTTGCGGCTGCCATACAGTATTGTGCACACCATCATACCACGCTAAAGCGCATCCCAGCATCTCGAGAGGCCTTTTTGGCTGCCAGCTGCTAAAGATAGACCTGCGAGCCGATCTTGCATTCACGTGCTGCAGACCGTCAGGCCAAATGTCCTGCCTAATTCCGCATTGCTTCCACCCCCGTTGAGTTAAGAGTCATGTCCATGTGTGGTATCATCAGGTACGGCAGGCCTAGATATGTGTCCCTTGGCAATTTGAACTGCACCCGAAAATGTGTGAGTCTGCGCCCTCCCCTTATATGTGATGCCCTCCGCAGTTCGGCCGCAACAACAGCGTTGGCACCGCAGGCATGACGTCCTCCAGTGTGCGGCCGCCAGCACGTCAGGCAGTCGCCGCCGCTGCTTCCGCGGCTGCTGCGCCTGCGGTGTCGGCACCGCCGCAGGCAGCAGGCTTACGATCCGTGGTTAAGTCTTTGGAGCACCTGGTGGCCACGTTGGGGAGTCCGGCAGGAGCGTTCGGAAGACCAGGCGGCAACGTACACACATCAAACCAGTTGGCCCACCACCCGTACACCGGAGGCATTGCGGGCGACGGTAGTGATGACGTCGGTGGTAATGGAGACGGCATGTATAGTTCATAGCAGCAGGCTTAGCTAGCGGGTTGCAGGGATATGACCATCATGTTCAACGCGGCGTCTCTGGCGCACTTCCGTACCATTACCCAGGGGCACTGCATGGAGGTACATGTGGCGGCAGCACATCATGTGGTAATCGCGTTCAGTACGCCATGTGCAGGGACACCTGCATGCAGACACTTACAAGGCTATGGATTGAACAGCTTCACGTTTACGTTGATGTCAGATGCGCCCTTCGTTTGGGGGGGAGGCAAGATTTGATAGCTAGAGTAGGCTGGGATGGGTTGGCTGGCGGTCATGCACGACGCGCGGCCTTGGTACGGCAAGCATGGATAGATGCATGGAAGACGCTGTTTGGTATGTCGCCGCTGTACATGCAGCTGTATGAATGTAACTTCGAAGACACATCATCTTGGACAGGACATTGTTTCATGCTGCTGTACGAGATCTCACAGGCTTCTATCCAGCAGTAATACATTACGTGCTGTTGTATCCTGGAAGATTCAAATGTGGTCCTTGACTGTAGACCTTGATGTGGTCCAGCTCGTCCACCGATAGCTTCCCAAGAACCTTTTTCCCTAGCAAGGTTGCCACGCACACCAGCAACGAATCTCCATCATCACGAAGCAGATCATTCTGGCGGCGGGCTTCACGGCCACCTGTTGCTTATCACTGTACCTTTAACCGTTGCTGTCCCTTCAGGCTGCCCCCAGATGGCAGATCTTGCAGCAGAATCCCTGCCTCACCCCACAGCCGCATCAACGGCATCTTCTCACAAACGAAGCGACATATAACGGGCCTTCCTCTCACCCTGCACCGCGAGTGTCTTAATTAGGCTCTACATTCGCTGTGCAATGCACCACTGGCATCGTCGTCAGTCCTCCGGCTACAACTTTCGTTCCACGGCCTCAGCCTTCCTCGCTTTCAGGCTTCGCTACAGAAGGATGGTCTCTGGTTTGTGTTACTCTTCCAATTGACCCCCTGTCATCCAGTGAGTAGTCGTGCACCTTTTCGGGACAAGCGGCCCAGTTCCGCCTTCTCGGTCCTACCTTTTAGCGGTTGCCTATGATGGCCTGTGAGGGCAGGCAATGCACTCACTCGGTTGGGACTGCTGCACATTTTGCTGATGAACGCCTCCCAAGGACCCATCGGTCGTTGGCGAGTGAGTCTTTGGTGCCGGTGTTCACCCCGGAGGTGCTGGTCCTTGAGCATTTCGACCAGAGCCTCTTTGTCGAGCGGGGGAAAGGATTATAGTCTTCGGCATCTCGGCATAGTCTTGAAGTGGAAACTGCGTGAGATGTGAAGCCATACGATGGGCAATGGGCGATTCGAGCCACAAAGACTGCAAAAAAGCTAATGCTCGTTGGAAATTGGCATATCATGGAAACTTGGTACATCATACTGAAGGCTTAGAGGAACGCGTATGATGAAGCAGCGCACAGCCGCCGCTGTATGTGCAGCAGCTGTCGTACAGTACGGCACACACACGTAAGCGTTAAAACACTATGCCAGAACCTTAGTAGGCACTTGCTGTAATGAAGGCAAGGTAAGTAAGCTCAGGAAACAAACCCAAACAGAGAGCACGACGAGTAAGGCTACCTGAACGCTCACAAGACAAGTTGGGTGTCGGCTTCCTCGAAGCCGGAAAAGGGGCGGGGCCCCTCTGCATCCGTACAGGCCGGTAGCTAGGGCAGGATGTGCGACAATGGAATTTAGGCCGAGAGGCGTTGATGTGACTTTGGGCTCGGTCAATGGAGGCAGCCAGAGTTGTTTGTGGCACAAACTTTGTGCTCATACGATTTTTGTAGGCTACAGGCGAGATACCTTGCAATAGGGAATGCACTATATTACCAAATAACGTGTTCTAGCAGGGAGAGATATTATGTTTAGTCCCTACATGCTTCACGCTGGGGCCCCGCCCAAAGATCTGCCTGCCCTGGTTCCGTTTTCCGGGGGCAACGTCTGTGCGGATCACCGTTGGATCCCACAGGTGAGCCTCCCACTTTTGCGAGTGGGGATGCCTGTGAGGTGAGGGAGTTCGTGAGGGATCAGCACCGAGGAAATGGAAGAAGGCGCTGACGGTTAGCCCCGAGCCTACCGCCTGTCGGTACATAAGGCCCCCTGTAGGACGACAGAGCGGCTGCCAGGCGGGGTGAGGTGGACTGGGATCAAGTGAAGTGAAGGTGGAAGGAAACCATGTTATGGTACCCCCCCAGCCAGGCACGTCCCAGGGAAGACATCAGAAGAGCCCATACACACAAGCACCGGTGAGCAGGCTTTGCTGGGTACAGAACATGGATTCTGTGCTCCTGTCTCCCTTAACAGTATTCTCATGGTTCTGTTCTGCCGAATCTGGTGTGCTTGCTGACCGTGACTTGAAAGGTTGAGAGGGGAAGCGGGAACCAGCTGCCAAGGGCCCTTACACTGCAGCAGAACACAGCCCCAGCCAACCTCAGCCGCACGACTGTGGCCCACCGGCCGCCACACTTCCACCGTGCGGCCCACCAAAGCCCCCTGCGGGGCGACACGCGCCCGACAAAAAGACATAACACAAAACCAAAGAAACTCACAACGACCACCTGTTCAGACTCTCGCGAGGCGACCCCTACCTCCTGAACCCCGGGAGATCCCCGACTGAGCCCCCTTGCGACAAGCGCCGCCCCTCCTGAGCAGTGATTTTTTTTTCATTTAGGGGGGGTCTCAATTTATTCCAACCTAAGTAACAAAGTTGCTAGCGTCGCCGTTATGTATTCCTTAAGAGTGGGGCGCTGG